CTACCATTGTGGAGATGAAGGGGAAGGTGAGGGGATTAGAAAGCACAAATTGGTAACCACAAGATTACAATGGGGACACGAGACAGTTTGGGGAATATAATCAATAATACTTAAAAGATTTTGTTGTAAAGATTTTGTAGGGTGTCAGATGGGCACTTGTCTTATTAGGGAGACCACTTTGTGGATGGTGTAGGTGCCTGACCACTGTGCTGTACACCTGAAGCTGAAGCTGAATAATACTGAATGTCAATTATAATATGATTAAATATACATATAGTCACAGGATGTGGTGTACAGCATAGGAAATAGAGTCAACAGAAATGTAACAGCTATATTACCATGACAGAGGGGTAGTAGTAGATCAGGAGAGGGAGGTTATCACTTTGTGAGGGGTGTAAATGTCTAATTATTACTTTGTTTTGTACACCTGAAACTATTTTTTTAAAAAAGCTACCATTTATACAGAACTTATTACGTGTCAGACAGCATACTATCTCATTGAATCCTTTCAGCAACCCTAACAGTCAAGAATGATCATTTATCACCATTTTACAAATGAGGAATTAACTCAGAAAACTTAAGCAACTGCCCCAAGGTCACAGCAGCATGTAAGCGGTAAAGCTGGGACTTGAACTGATGTCTGGCCAGTTCCATGATCCCCATCCTTTCCCATTGTGCTACCCAGGGAACCAAGCACAGGCTAGAAAGCTGCTCTATTGACTCTGTAGGAAATTATTTGTTAACTATTTCAGTCTAAACTATTTGGTATGTGTATATATACACTGCCTCCCCTCCCACCCCTAAAGTGGTTAGTTAGCATCTGAAGCACTGTAATCAGGAATCTGAGCCCTAGACGGTGGTTACATAAACACTCCAACTGCTATCAAATCTACACCAACGGGCTGAATGTGCTTGAGAGATGCTAGAAATAATCTTTTGCTGGCAAAATAAGTGGTTTCCAAAATACGGAGATAGCCAGAAAGATGACCTGGGCCCTTGCATGAATGACATGTGAGAACCAGGCAGGCCAACTGCACGAATCCCTGGAAGCGGGTTGTGGTACTTTTTGTGACTGCTTGCTAATAAATGTTTTTGTATATTTGGCAAACTTTGGCCTTGGCCATTTTACTATGCCCCTGTAGGAGGTTCTGGAAGAGGGACAAATGTCCTCCACTCACATCTCATCTCCCATGGCTGCGAATATAAGAACCTGGCAATCGCCACAGTGACAAATTGGTCCAGACCTGCTCACAATGGGTGCCCATCCAGGCCTCATCCTCCCCTCAGAAGAGAAAAGAATGGCTTTAGTTTCCGTGACCCAACTGACCCTTCGACTCTGGGCATGTGACGGCTTTCTTTTCTTCTCTGCTGTCAGGGCACTCGTAATACTAAGCTGACATCAATCAGAAACAAGCTGTAGTTGTGTTGGGTACCATTTCTCCATGGATCCTTAAAGAGGTCTGGGGGTCAGAACCTTTCCAGCAGGCTTCCAGGCCCCCAGCTCCCACCCCAGCCCTTTCTGCTCTCTCCCCTCTCCCACTACAGCACCAGCCAAAGATGGTACCCAAGATGGTTTAACAAAACTCCCCTCCGCTGTGGTGACTCCCTCATAACCCTGCCTTTCCCTCCAGCTCTCAAATACTCTGACCTGAGGGGCAGCTGTTCTGAGGAAATAATTTCTCCACTTTACAACAGGGCAAACTGAGGCAGGAAGCAAGGAGGTGATTTATTCAAATTTATAGTTGGGCATCTAATAGCATACCTGGAACAACGTAAAAGGCAGCTACCACAAATGAATGAATAAATGAATGAATGAATGAATGAAAGGGAGGGAGGGAAGAAGAGAGAGAAGTCTGCATCAGCTGATGTCATGTCCGCATTTGACCAATGGCCACAGTTTGACTCTTGGTTTCAGTTCCACAGAGGACTCCATAGAAAGTGCCTTAAGACAGAAAGATTGTGGGAAAAAGACTGACTCAGTCATCCCAACCCTTAATCTCAGGGTTCAGTTGGGGTATGCCAGCCTGGGGTCCATAGGGATTCATTCCCTAGGTGAGGTGGTATGGGGAGGCATAGTTCAGGGTGACATAGGAGCCAGGTCTCATGGGAGCCAGAAAAGCTGCCTCTCCTGATTGGGGAGCAGTGCGGGAGGTGGAAGGGACACCAGAATCCCAACCAGAGTTGCTAGGAGCGGTGGACAGGACCTACCTGGACTGCCAGCATGGGGTGGCTGGGCAGGCAGAGGAGGCAGCATCAGCAAACACGGCTGGTGAGACAATCCCTAGCATTAGATGGGAAACTGCTCAGCCTGTGAGCATCCCTGGTGGCCTGGTTATTGATTAGCTACAGTCCCCAAAGAATGCCAGGGTCTAGGGCTGTGGGAGTCACTCTCTCCCTGGAGGGGAGGAAGGGATGAGCCCATTCTCCTCTAATCACCCATACACTCTGGTGCATACTAGGTAGGGACTAATAATAATAAGTAGAAGAGCTATAAGACTTGGCTACAAAGGACATTATTGGAACAACTGGGGAAATTAGAATATTTCTTGTGTAGTAGATGATAGTATTGTATTGATGTTAAATTTCTTAAGTGTGATAATATTAGAACACCCTTGTTCTTAGGAAGGTACATGCTGAAGTAGTCAGGAGTGAAAGGTCAAAAAGTTGTGTAAAAAAGGGTAAAAATGTTGTGTACAACTGGTTGAGAGAGAATCAATGTAGCAATATATTAACAATTGGGAAATCTAGTGAAGAGTGTATGGGTATTTAACGTGGCATTTTTTTGCAACTTCTTGTAGGTTTAAAAATTCCAAAGTAAAAAGTTGGGGGGAAAGTTTGAGGGGAGAGGAATAGCTATCACTATTGAACAATAATAATTGGATCCCCAAATTTATGTAATTCTATTATCTGACTTAATCCTCAAACCAACTCCAGAGAGAGACATTACGCTTCTCATATTAAAGATGAGGAAACTGAATCCCAGAAAGGTTAAGGAACTTGCCCAAGTTTACAGAGCTGGGATTGAAACAGAGCCCAAAGCAGGAGGACCACACAGAGGAGTGTGGTTGGGAGGCTAATGGCTAACAGTTTCTTGAGCCTTTCTGTGTGCTAGCAGTGTTCTCAAATCATCTGTGCCTATTAACTCATTTAAGCCTCCCCTTCTGAAAGCTTTGTACTTTGTGATAAATCACTTCATTGGCATGGGTGGGAGGGAACGAAGGGGCACTTAAACCACCGATAGAAGTGAAGGTTGGTGCAGTCTCCTTTGAGGGCCCTTTGGCAGCATCTATTGGAATTTAAAATTCACATTGTGTTTAGAGCCAGTAATTCCTCCTCTAAGTAATAAACCATAAAGACAGTCATACGTGTGGGCCAAGCAAGAAGTATGTACAAAGATAGTCATTGTAGCAAGGTACATAATAGCCGAAGATTGGAAGCGACCTAAACACCCATCATTAGGAATACCAGGGAATCATTAAAAAAAAATGTAAGGCATCTCTCAGTGTGCTGATAGGTCGCACTTGGAGTTGACAAATGGTAATGTCAAGAGAAAAAAGCAAGGGATGGTTCCTTAGTGTTGAAAGAGGGGTATAATACATTTACATAAATATCTATGTGGATATCTATGTATTTATGAATACATGAATACTTATATATGCATAAAATATCTCGAAAGGATACAAACAAAAACAACCGTAGTTGTGTTTGGGGAGAAGTGATCTGGGGAACAAGGGACAGGCCGGGAGGAAGACTTACTTTTCATTGTTAGCTCTTCTGTATTATTTGAAATTTAAACTATGTGCATGATTACCTACCTATTCAAAGTGAATGCATGAATGAATGGATGGATGGATGAATGAATCTCCCTTACAAACTTCAGAGGACTTGCTTTTGGGTTTCCTTAAGCAATTTCCAGAGTGTTGAAGGGTACAGCTGAGGCCAGTGACCCACAGTCCGGGGCTGATCTATCCCAATCCCCGGGAGCTATGAATTCATTTTCAGTTTCAGTCCCTGGAGTCCCACTAGCCCAGGGGAACTTTCACCATTGGCCTCCTGCCCTACTGGGACCAGCTTGCCAGTCTCTGGACACTCAAAATTGTGCATGAGCATCACCTGGGGAGCTTGTTAGCTGTGCTATTTCCCAGCCTCACCTCCAGAGATTCAGATTCAAACCTGGGACGGAACCAGGGGATCCTTCACTACTACCTGGAGTGAGTCTTCCAAAGCCCCTTTGGAGAACTGGGCTCTGGTGGTGTTTGCCTCTGTTCATTCCTCTGGAGAAGAACGGTTCTACCCCATACCCACCTATCCAAAAGTTGAATGTTCCAACCCCACTGAGTGTAAGATTATACTGGTGAGCTGAGGGACTATAAGCCCTTCAAGAACAAGGGTACGCTGAGGACGACCCTGCAAAGTGCCCAGCAGGCAGTATCCTGTTTGCCTGACTCCTTGGCCGGCTCCTTTAAATAAGTAATGCATGCATGCATACACACATACATACATACGTACGTACATACATACATGCATACATACATAAGCAAGCAACTTGCCCTTTGGGCTGGGATGACTTTGTTTCCCCCCCTCCCCCAAATTACAAATCAGAACATTGATCTGTCAGTGAGACAGAGTGTTTTAAGTAAGAGCTTCTGCTTCAAATATCCGGGCGTTAAAGTTTTTACAGGTCGCCAAACTCTGGAAGGGGAGGAGGGTCTGGTCTTAAGCCCCATCCTAGGTTGGGAGCTGAGCAGATCCCCGGGTGCCCTTTGTGGCAGCTGGTGCGCCCTCCGCAGACAGCTCGGGGCGGGAGCCGGGGAGACCCCACCGCCCACGGGGCCCCGCTGCCTCAGGGGAACTAGCCCAGCGGTGCGGAGAGGTGGGAGGCTGGAGCCCGCTGAGGTCATTTCCTGTGCCTCTCCGCGAGCCGCCCGAGAGCGGAGCCAGGCGCTCTGCCTTTAAGGAGCGGGCGGGGAGCGGGAGGGGCGGAGGGAGCGCGGTGGAGCGTTGAATGGGGCGCAGCCAGGCGAGGCTTGCCTTTGTGCGGCCAGCCTGCGGGCACCCCTCCCGGCCCCCACCTCGCCCCGCCCCGCCCACCCCGACCCCTGCTGCCAGGGAGCGGAGACCCGGCGGCCGCTGCGGACTCGGACGAGAACGGCACAAGGTCAGCGGCAGACGCGAGCGGAGGGCGCCGGGGCGCGGAGTGCACGGCGGGGCGTCCCGCGAGCTCGTCGGCGGTGAGTGGCACCGTGCGCCCCGCGGGCAGGCATGGACTGGGGGACGTGCGCTGGCCGGGAGGGTGCTTGGTTGGGCCAAGAGGACCTGCTCCCTCCCGCCGGAGGGCGATTCCCAAGCAGGTGCCTCCCCACCTGGGACCGAGCTCTCGGTAGCTGGGAGCCCCGGGAGCCGCGGGTCCGACCCGGGAACCCGCACCGGGAAGCGAAGCGTGGCTTATCTGGGGAGGACGGAGACTTGGGGACAGACTCGATCCAGCAGCTCCCGGGAAGGGCCCTCGGAGCGTCCTTGCAGGCTTTCCAGAGCGTTGCCAGTGTTCGCGTTCGCTTTCATCCCTCCCTCTCCCCTTCCCACTTTATGTCAGATTATCTCTTCTGTGACTTCTCGGTGGTTCTCGAGGGCTCCTAATGGATCAGGCTCGACTCCTAGAGGCAGGTCTGCCGTGAGGAAAAGAAAACAAGTCGGGCGCCGAATGACAAGACACCAGGAGCTTTGTGTCCTAGGAACCTCAGAGACGAATCAGTCACCAGGGACCAGTGGGGCCTTAATGGGGGTGGCAGAGGCAGTGATGACCCTCTTCTGGGAGTAGAATCCGCTCCCTGTTGGATTTCTCCCCGCTGGGAGCTATCTCCATTAGCTTCTGCTATGACTCCACCTCACAGAACTCTTCCAGACAGAGCCTCAGTTCTTAAAACGTTTCAAGCTAAAACTTCTGCTTGACAGATCATTTAAATAGCAATTTCACTGGAAAAGTCATTGGTTCCTTCATCAGACCTTTTGGATTGTTTTCTGTGCACCAGTCACTGCACGTGGTAACATCACTTAACGCTTTATAAAACATCGATTCCAGTGTTTCTGCATATTATCTCCGTTTTACAAAGGAGGAAACAGACTCAGAAAAATTGTGGTTTGCCCAAGTTCATGCAGCTAGAAAGTGAAAGAGGCAACACACTGAAACCCAAGCCTCCTAAATTCCAAATGTGGGGTTTGGTTCACTATCTGCACCCTCCCTCCCACAGGTGGCTGAGAGGGTCTGCTCAGAGCTGGACTGTGGTGGGATACAACCACTGAAACTAACAAAATGTGGTGCCCCTTTTGCCCTCTTCAGGAGTCCCAGCTAAGGTGGAGATGTATCTCACACTCGCCTCTCCCTTCACGCCCTGTGCCCTCCTCTCTCTATGAGGCTGTGTATCTGTGTGTCAGATCTGTGCTCCTCAGGGGTTGCAGAATGCTTTATACATGCTGATGGTTAGGTGCCAGAATTCCCTCGCTCCTGACCTAAGTCACTTCATAGCAGGCTAGCTACTGAGCCACCATCCTGCATTCTCTGGCCAGCCCAGCAGAACCATCTTTCCCTTCTGTCAAAAACGAATTCAAAACGTACCTCCTCTGTGGGGAGACAGGCACTTATTGCTGGCTGGAGTGTGAATTAGAATAGCCTCAGTAGAGGGCAATTTGGACAGTTTGGCCATTTAAAAATGTATGTCACGTAACCCTACAATTCTATTTCTGGGACTTTATCCTTCAGATATATATACTCTGATGTGTATGAAATGATATGTATTCATTGAATATTCATTGCAACATTGTTTATTTTTGCAAAAGGTTTCGGACAACCCAACTGTCTGACAATAAGGGACTCTTAAATATAATCATGCACCACTTAACGATGGGGATATGTTCTGAGAAATCGTTAGGTTGATTTTGCCGTTGTGCAAACTTCATAGAGTGCACTTACACAAAGCTAGATGGTATAGCCTACTATACATTAGGCTATATGGTGTAGCCTGTAGCCTGTTGCTCCTAGGATAGAAACCTGTATAGCATGTGACTGTACAAAACAACATGAGATTAAATCAAGCACAAGACAAAATGGTGCCATCATGAGATGCAGTAGTCGGCATAACATGGTGTACTGTTTTACAGCAAACTTTTCTTTTTAATAAGTAGAAGGAGTATATGCTAAAATCGTGATAAGAAGTATAGTAAATACATAAACCAGTAACCTAGTCTTTTATTATCAGTTATGTACTGTACATAGTTACATGTAATATTTTTATACAACTGACAGAGTGCAGTAGGTTTGTTTATACCAGCATCACCACAGACATGTGAGTAATGTGTTGTGTTATGACATTACAACAGCTACAGTGTCACTAGGTGATAGTTGTTCAGCTCCATTATCTTATGGGACCACTTCATATTTGGGTTCGGCATTGACCAAATCATTATGTGGCCCATGAGTGTAAAATCATGTAGTAGCCACGCAATAGAATACAATAAAGCTGTTAAGAAGCATGGAGGGAAAATGGGGCAGATGTGACATTGATACAGGAATAGTTCTAAGTTATGTACAGTGTGTTTAGCCTGCCACCGTGTGTGTGTGTGCGCGCGCGCGCGCAACATGTATGTGAATGCTTGTATATGCACTACCTATCTCTGAAAGACATAGAAACCCATAACAGTGGTTGCCTCTGGGGATGAAGTACAGGGGTAGAAAGAAGCCTTACTTTGTATTATATACTTTTTGGTTCAACATAAAGAGAGAAAATCATTTTTAAATATCCCCCGACCTCTGTGAGCTGGATGTGGTGGGAAGCACCTCGGTGAGCCACATCTCTTTGTGGGCCCAGGGCACTGTTGATTTGCCTTTGTTTGTTGATAGTAGTTGTCATTTATTGAGTGTTTACTGTGTGCCAGACTTTTGAAATATCTCCTTTAATTCTCAAAAAAATCCAACATAGTGTGGTCTATGAATTGCCGTTTTTAAAGGTCAAAAAATGGTTAAATGTTGACAGTTTTGTATGGTTCAACTTAATATTTTTGCCTTTCTTTACAAATATTATTGCCCTCAATTTCAAAATGGAACTGGAGCTCAGAGAAGTTAAGCAAAAGGTTTAGGGTCACAGGATTAATTTTTGCCTGAGCCAGTATTCAAACCCAGGCCTGTTTGGTGCCAGAACACAGGATCTTAATTGTTATGCTCTGCTGGTTCTCTTTACTGGTTTTGTTCTCAAGGACTGCTACTCCTGGTTGTCCTAGCCCCTTCTGATATTTAGACCCGTGAAGGCTGGCACTTGCTCACCTTTTCCTGTGTCCCCCAACATTGTGAAATGTGGTGCTCAGCAGCACCCAAAAGAGGTCAAATGCATGTTGTTGGCTTGATCAGATGACAATGCAAGATCAGAGGGACACTCGCCCTCCTCCCAGCTCTAGCCTCAGAAAGGGGGCACACAGCTCATTCTGTCCACAGTTGGGCCGGTGGCCAGCCTAGTCTAACAAAGCACTTTCAGAAGATGGTGGTGGCCCATCGCTAGAAGGTGGAAATCACCAAAGGTGGTCACACTCAGGGAGTGAACCATCATGAGGTGACACGGGAGAGCTCAGTGGAAATTGTACCCAGAACAGACTCTCCGTTAGCCTCTGATACCTCTTGCAGGGAACTCTGATCTCTTTCTTTTAGGCTCTTGTATTGATTGGCCCCCTTTGCAGGGAAGTTCCAGGATATTCAGACTATAGACCTGAGCCTCTCAAGCCACCGGTCTTTATTCATCTTTATGTCCCCAACTTTGCACGGAGGAATCATTTAACAAAAGTTGGTTGTTAAATTTGATCTCCGTGTTTTGTCAATTTCTGGTCAAATTCCTAAACTTGCCAGAGCATCCCAGGTCAAGTTTGTGTTTTCACTGATACAGGCCCAGAGTGTGAAGTCACCTAACCACTACCCGTGCCCTCTTTTCACCATGCATCCTAGCCGCAGCCCCTCCTTCCAAGGCATCTCTCCACCGACTTATGTGGCCATGTCAGTCCAGGGTGCTGGGGGACTTAGGGAGTTCCAGTGCAGGTGTCCAGCCCATGGCAGTCATTTGACTCTCATCTGCCAAGCAGTTTAGCATAGTGGGTACTAGTGGGAATCAACAGAACTGGATTTCACAAGAGTGGCCCTGAGTCGGTGATAATTATAGCTGGGTGGAGGGAACATGGGGATTTACTGTATACTGTTCTCCCTACTTCTTACGTGTGTTTGAGGATTTCCAGAATAAAAAATGAAAAACAAAAATTGAGCTTGGTTTTGTCCCCAGCTCATGACCCTTCTCTCATTTCCCCATTTTATTTATTTATTTATTTATTTATTTTTGGCCATTAATGTTGTACCTTGTAAGGCTAGCCTGCTAGCATGGGACTCGACCACCATTACTGAAGCATCTTCACAGAAAGAAGACGTTCTATATGTTGGGAGATCAGGAATCTTGGCCCAGCTCTGATACTGCTTAGCTCTGTGTCTCTAAGCAAGCCACAGATGTGATAAGTTTTCTCACCTGTTCATTGTGAATAATATCACTTGTCCTGCATCTCAGAGATATTGAGAGGATAAGGAGAGAAATAACACCTGTTACAATGCTTTGAAATGGTTAAGAACCACTCTGTAAGTTCATGTCTGCTCATCCTTGTGCATCTTTATGGCAAGTACAAGTGCAAGTGACTTAGAAGGAGAGATTCCACTTACTGGTATCTTTCCTTAACATCCTGTGTTTTATAGCTGCTGCTGCAACCACCTGCTTGTGTCGGAAGAGCCTCTGGGCCTCGTGCTTGGCAGCAGGCACCTTACTCCAGAGCCCTCTTAGCTCTCCTTACGTGCCGAGACAAGCCTAGCATGATGCCTGCCCTCTCACCAGCATCCCCAAGGCAGGGAGAAGGTTATGTATGCACCTGATTGGTTCAAAACCATGACATCATGAAGATGCTTGATTGGGGAAAGCACTCCTTATAGCCTAGGTATAATCTCAGAAATCAGGGCTAGGCAGAGGCCAATGACATATTTTATTTCCAAAGTCCCTGGAGATTTTGATAATTTGGGTTTTTACTCTCCCCATGGAATCTGAGCCACAGCTTTGACAGTCAATAAGAGGGAATTAAAATTCACCAAACTCTTTCAACACCACTGAAGGATTAAGTTTCCCCTGCCCCTTGGTTTTACTTGGGTGCTTTCACTGCTAATTCTTAGCCCTGGGCTAGGTTGCAAGACTTTCAAATCCTAGTTTCAGATCTGTTACTTTTTTTTAATTTAAGGATAGCAAAAACCCCTTAAAGGACAAAGCAAATTGAACACTTAAGCCTGGGGGCCTTCTCTGGAGGCCCCACAAGGTTCTGTTTTGTCTTTTCAGCTGTGATCTTAGCTCAGAAAAGGTCATGTTTTGTTTTTGTCTTTTGTCTTCCTGCCCGTTCCAGTTGGTCCCAGTCCTTTGAGGTGGGGATTGCTGGGAGGTCACAATGTCAGGATTGTTTGGGATGACCGTTCTGGTAGACCAGGGATGAGGTCATGCATCCAGTGTTCTGAGGAGCCCAGAACTGAAAGACTCAGACACTAGACCCATCAGCGGTTTAATTGTTGGGCCTTTCTCTACAGGTTCTAATGACCTGCTTTTTTAAGTGAAAAGTCAGGACACATGATAAACGTCTATGCTTATGGTATTTATGGTGTCAGAATATATGAGACCAGAATGCCCTGGATAATCTGGAATATAGGCTCACGTGAGCACCAAGGATCCTGAAAGATCCTATGAAATATTTCCTTCATTCTTAACAGTTCGCCCCACTCTTTGTGAAATCAGAATCCTTTCCAGTTTCTGGACAGGTAAAGAGCACAGTGGCTAAGAACAGGCACTTTGAAATGAGACTCTAGCCCCACTGCTTACTCACTGTAGAACCCTCTGTGTAAGGTAGTCAGCCTCTCAGTTCCTCAATATCCGTATGTGAGCGTGTGGAACTAGTACCTACCCCTTAACTCATGGGCTGTTGTACGGTTTAAGAGGCCACACATGCCTGGCATACAGCAAGAACTCAATAAATGATAGCTATTTGTGGTATGTCATGGGAGAAAGATACTTATATCTTTCTGATATAAGCGAAGATGGGAAGTGACATTGGTGAGATGGGAAGTGACATTGGTGGTTAACCACCATCAAGGACAGGTTCACTGATGCACCAGGGTGATATTTGGTGACAGCATAGGAGGTAACTGGGTTTTCTGAGGCCATGTTGCTCCTGAGAAAGGGAAAGGAAATTTTTAAAAAAATAACAAATCAGCATTATGGAAAATTCCATATTCAAATAGAGAGAGCAGTATAAAGAACCCCCATATTTGCCCATCATCTAGCTTCAAAAACTATCAACATTTTGACAAATCTTATTTCATATGTCTCCCTCCCCTTCACTCTCCACCCCCTACCTTAAAGTGTTTTAAAGCAAATCCCAGACATTATATTATTTCACCTGTAAGTCATGTGTATCTCTAACAGATGACACTTAAAAATTATCAGTCTAAAAATTAATAATCATTCCTTAAAGTAACCTAGTACTAGGGTGACCATATGTCGTGGTTTGAGACACCAAATGTATGCTTGTTGCCAAGCATAATTATTACTAGCCCTCTAGATGGGAGCTTTAAAAGTCCTGATCTCCTTCCTCTGTGCTCCCCTGTGCTCACTCTATGCCTGTATCTCCTGTCTTATACACACTCATACATCCTTCTTCATTTTCTCATCCCATCCCAGTTTTTCTTCTCTAAAGTGTGTCCCGGAGACATCTGGGTAACGTCTCAGGGCTATGGAAATTATAGGTGACTACTTGATTTGTTGGGAATTTGTGTAAAGTATTTCCCAAAGACTTGTGGCTTTCTCCAGAGGCTGCAGCAATAAATAAATAAATAAATACACACGTGTGCGTTTGCACACACACACACACACACACACACACACACACACACACACACACCAATTTTTCGTTTGCTTTTTATAAGTTAAAGGAAAGAGTATCTGTTCCAAAGCAGAATGATTTAATGACAATTAACAGAATCCCAACTAAACAGAAAATTATCAAGCATTACATTTTTTTCCCTTTTGTTCCCATCTGAAATCTATATAGCTGTAGTAGAATCAGAACTAAACTGGAAACCAGGGTTCTACCTCCAGTTATCTGTGTGAACCCACTGTAAGCCTCCCTAAACATCACCCACCCCGCATAGTCAGCCCATTTCCCTGCTCCTATTTATCTGTATATTGATTAGCTATTGTGACTGCATTGTAATTATGCAATTAGACTTCCTTGAAAAACTCAAAGTCAAGGGGCTCTCTCTAATTTATCTTTCCATCTCCAGTGCTTAGAACAGTGTCTGGCACAAAAACGTTTGTTGAATGGATAAAAATTTGTCAAATGGATAATTGAATGAAAAACAAATGAGCCCTACTTTTCACTTCTGTCAAGATGAGACTAGGTTGTCATTACGGTTTCTGGGTTTTGTGATCTGAGGTTGCTCAGCTAACTCATGTGGAATGAGACACACTGAGCTAAGAAAGGTGGCAATGGGACACACAGGCAGAGCAGTGACTAACTTACTATCCCACGTGTTTCCTCTGTCCTCCTTTGGTCTCCTCCTCCTCCTTTCCCCATATAACTCTTCCCCCCGCCATTTACCTGTATTTGCCTCTCTCTGTGTGCTGGTCTCAGGGCTCCCAGGAATATCCAGAAGCTGATTCCATCATGGCAGAACTCAAGGTGGAGACCCGGACCAGCATGGACTGGCAGAAGCGCTGCCTGGCCCTAGAAACCCAGCTTTTCAGGTTCCGCCTACAGGCCAGCAAGATAAGGGAGCTGCTGGCTGACAAGGTGAGTCCTGGAGAGCAGGCAGCTGCCTGACCTCACTGCAGAGGTCAGTGTCAAGAGGGGCCATAGTTAGACAGGGAGAGTTGGGGAAGGTGAACTTTCTTTTTTCTTTAGATTTTATTTTATTTATCTATTTATTTATTTATAATTGAAATATATTTGACATGTAACATTATATCATTTAAGGTGCTCAACATGTTAATTTGATACATTAATGTATAGTAATATAGCTGCTAATATGATAATTAGCACCTTTATCATATTACATAATTACAATTTCTTCTTAGTGGTTGGAATAATTAAATTTTAGCAAGTTTGGTGATTATAATACAATGTTGTTGTCTATATTCACTATACTGTGCATTAGAGCCCTAGGGCTTATTTACTACTCATTGCTAGAAGGTGAACTTGTAAAAGATGCTTCCCACACATGCAAAATGAAACTCACCTGTGGCAGTTTTTGTTTTGTTTTGTTTTTTGAAGACCAAAATCAAAGCAGTTTATTAAACTGTCATCTTGCATTCTTCCCTGCTGTGCCTCTTTGTACAGCACACCAAAGAAATAGACAAATCTGGGGCCGGCCGAGTGGCTCAGTTGATTAAGAGCTCGCTCAAGAGTTTGAGCTCTGAGCAACTGCAGTTCGAGTCCAGCCCGAGCTGAGCAGCCGCTGAGCTGCCAACAGGTAGCAGGATGGCTCAGCTAAAAAAACAAAACAAAACAAAACAAAACAAAGAAATAGACAAATCTTCTTGGTTCTCCATCACCTCTTGAGCCACATCTGGCTGCAGTGGATGTTCTGTTATTCCCTCAACATGTCTTCTTCAGTGTGGGGAAGGAAGATGTTTTAGAAGAGAAAAATGGAAATCCCCACCCTACCGCTCACCCTCTATTAAGCATAGGAACTACAGAAGGTAACCCAGTTTCCTGGTGGCTCTGCCACTACTAGCTACCTGATCCTGGACAAGTCCCTTCACCTCTGAAACAGGGACACAAATGTCTCCCTTTCGGAGTTATTTTGAGGATTGTGTCAGATCACATATATAAAGGTTCTGGCATAGAATAGGTCTTAAATGGGGGCAATTATTATCTTTACAGGCTTGGGTGCACTGGTCTGGGAAAGTAACCACCATTCATGTTTCTTTGGGAAGATACATTCTAAATGGCTGACTTCCTGTGGTATTTTGGAGTATAACCCTTCTAGAGAGTGGAGGAGACATGCACTAAAAATGTGTATGTACCTTAACTGAATCAACCATGCTCTCAATAGTTTTGTTTATAGTAGCCATCCGCTATCCATCCATTAGCTAACCCTTCTTTCATAGTACAAAAGTAAAATTCAGTTCACCCCTCTCCAAGTAATGTCAAAGTCTTGATTAGTAAAGCCTGAATAAGTGACCTGTTTTAATGACAGGCCCACAACCTGGATTCCAGGAAGACAAGTTATTGGCATAACCTCTGCGTTTCCACTCCTGAGGGGAGTGGCCCTGGACTAGCCTGGACTAGAACTCATGAATCTTGGGTCTGTTAGCATTGCCCTCTTCTAGTTCAGACTTTGCAGAACAGACTGGCAGGCATAGATGTGGTTCGGGCACTGCCAATAGAATAAGTAGGATTCCGCCACCTCAGGGAAAGGGAAGCAGGCTTTAGACAGTGGTTCTCCAAGGGTGGTCCTGGGGTGCTTGTTCAGCATGTGAACAAGCTGGGCCTCACCCCAGTCCTCCTGATCCAAGTTTCCTGGGGTACTTCTCATAATCTGCATGTTTAACAAGCTCCCAGAAATTGGTTTCATACCCTATAAAATTTGAGAACCTTGCCTTAGGATGTGGTATTGGGGAAGATGTGCGAGGGAAGGAAAGGATAAGTGGGGATCAGCCAGCTGATCTAAACATCTCAGAGGCTAGAGGCTTCTGTTTTTAGTACTATGAACAACAAAATAACCAAAAAAAAAAAGATCACTAAACTGCTGAATTAAATATTTAAAATATCCTTCTCAGTGCAGAGCTGTGCACTGAAAGAAGTAAGAGGAATCCTGAGTGGGCATAATGAAGAGGAAAATCCTGAGTGGTACTCAGCTCTGGCAGCTGATTGTGACGGGGTGTGTGGCTGGCCTCCCTTTAATAATGAAAGGCTTGAGGTTTGAGTTTTAACATCTGTGGAGACAGAAATGAGGTCTGGCCAGTTGGAAGCTGGACCTGAAATGGAAACTTCCATGTAAAATCAGGACTATCAAGGCTTTACCCTAAATGAAAAGGTAGACAAAGAAAAGAAAATCATCCACCAGCACAGGGAGATAACAGAACAGCTTCTCATACTTAGCTGAGGCTCTGGGCAAAAAAGAAAAGAAAAGAAAAATGTTCCCTGAGAACCTGATTATATTGATTTAACATTAGAATTTATACTACCTGTGTGGAATAGTAACCCTACTGTCTGGGCCTGTGACACCCCTGGGAGACGTTGTAGGAACAGACACAGAACCTCTCTGGAGAAACTAGACCTCAGCCCAGATCATACAGGATCTCCACAGGAAAAGAAAAGCAAAGGGAAGGGAAGGGAAAGGGGGCGGGAGTGGGGGGTGGTGGGTGGTGGGTGGGAAGGGGATTAGTGAAGGTAAGTATATGATCCAAAATGACTAAATACGTACTGAGAAAATAACCTACAGTGATTAAGAGTACACATACACAATAAACAACTGGACTAGACCCCCTAAGAGCTTCTAGTAATAGAACTGTTGGTGAGATCCTATAAAATAAATGAGTTCAAAACTATTGAAGACATAATGAGGTAATTGAAAACATGAGACAAAAACAAGATACTCTCGGGCCGGCTGAGTGGCGCATTGGTTAAGAACTGGCTTGGGACGCCAGAGGGCCCCGGTTCGGATCCCACATATGAGGGCCAGTGACGCTGCCCTCCACAGCTAANTAAGAACTGGCTTGGGACGCCAGAGGGCCCCGGTTCGGATCCCACATATGAGGGCCAGTGACGCTGCCCTCCACAGCTAAGATGCTGAACAACAGTTCAACCTGGAGCTGGGTTGCTGTGAGTCGCCATTGACGGCGTAGGCTGCAGCCCCTGCTGCAGTGATTTGCCATGGGCTACCGTGTGTAGCCAGCAGCCGACGTGAGCGGCCTTCAAGCTGCCATGAGCGGCCATCCAGAAGCCGGCGACTGATCTGCCTTGCCCGGGAAGAGCACAATGATGGTGCCAACTTGGGCTAGTGGAGCAACGTCCTCCACAACTAGACTGAAGAACAAAAAAGACAGCAACTTGTCTGTTCCCCTTCCCCCAATTCCCTGGCGCTGTTCCCATCCCCCAATTCCCCAATAAAAATCTTTAAAAAAAACAAAAACAAGACACTCTCCAAAAGGATCAGGTATTCTTGAAAAAGAACCAAATAGAACTGCTAGAAGTGAAAAATGGTTTCATTGAAATTAAATGTTCAGTGGATAGATTAAACATCAGATTAGGCCCCACTGAAGGCAGACTTAATGAACAGAAAGAAGGACCAGAGGAAATCATCCAGAATGCAGCACAGAGAAATCTAATATAGAATCTTGTCGTTCTAGCACCCATGAGCTGAGACATGGGTGCTAGAACGACAAGATTCTATATTAGATTACAGAAGTGGAGGAGAGAATGACGAAGAGGCATTACTCAAAGAGATGATGGCTTTCAAGTTTCCAAACTTGATGAAAGACATGAAGCCTCAGATTCAGGAAATAGAATGAGTGTAAGCAGGATAAATCTTTTTTTTTTTTAATCCATGCCTACTGTATTAGCTAGACTGCTAACCAGAGTGCCCACCCGTAAAAATGTTGGGAGCTCAGGGTGTAACTTGGGTACAGAAAAGGGAAGCATACAGACACATGGCAGAAGAGACGGGGAGTGTGGGAGGGAAAAGGAGAGAGAAAGAAATTTTGAGGGATCATGAGCTGGGAGACTTCAGTAAGGAAGAGGGCTGAGACTTAAGGTAGCGGTGTTGGACCTCCCGGCAAGCACCTTTATGGCCGTAAATACTGTGTTGCTCAGTGTTGGGGCTCTGCCTGTCACCTGTCATCATCCCCAAACCATTAGGACAGGTTCAGCAATTCACTAGAGAATTTTTCCAATCCATCAAGTTAAGCTTCAGATCTCAGGACGAGATGACTACGGTTTCTCAGGATAGCTCCTTCTGGGGCCGAGCCCTGGTCTGGTCTCTGTCACTCCTCTCAGAGCTTACTTGCCAGTCTTCATCAGTACCCACCTGCACATGGAAGAGCCGGGTCAGCTGGGTTCTTTTGGCCAGCTCTCTTTCTTGCCTGCCCCCTCCACCTCTCTGCACAGTTTGCTCACCTGTGCAGACAAGATGCAGAGTCTGGATGACTGATGGCCGCGCTTACTCGCTGCTGGCCCGTGGTACAGGGAAGGCGAAGGCTGGGTGTTTGCCAGGGGGCTGGCCCGCCTGGTATCAGATTCCGCCCATTGGCTGCTAAGGTTTAGAAGCATGCCCTTCCTCCTTCCCCACCACACAGCCTACTCATTCCTGACTCCCTCTTGCAAAGTTGCCATTCTACAGATGCAATAATCTGTACTAAAAAAAAGTTTTGTTTAAAGTAAAAAATGTCAAGGCTACCAGATAATCCCCTACCTGAGGGTGGGAGAGGAGAGGATGGGTTTAGAGCAGAGACAGTACTAGACCTTGTTTCTGCTGTTAACACCTTTCAAGGTCTGGTGTGCTGCTGTCATGGACACCAGATTGCCAGGGCCACCCCATTCTGGAGCCAGATGAATTGTGGGTTCACCTCCATCCAGTACAGGAGTTGAGGGAGTGGCTAAGGTGTTGGAGTTCCATTTGCTCTGTTCCCTGGGAGCTGTTTCCCCAGCTCTCTCCCTTGGTGTGCTGAAGAAGTCTCAAAGGCTAGTCAGATCACTTTAAAACTTGATATTGTCCTAAGAGGCCATAGAGATGGATATTGAAAATCCTTTGGACTTTTTTTTTTTTTTTGCTAAACTTGTGCCTCAGT